ACAGACACAGGAAAAAAAAATGCAGATATAAAAAAGAAAATGGCAGATAATTTGGAATTATCAAGTGAAAATTTTAAAATATTTTAAAATCTCCCAAACAACAACGAGAGAGAGAGAGAGAAGAGAGAGAGAGAGAGAGAGAGAGAGAGAGAGAGAGAGAGAGAAGAAAGAGAGAGAGAGAGAAAGAGAGAGAAGAAAAAATATCCCAAATATTTTTCACTTTATAAAAAGTGATTCTACTAACTAAGGTTTATTTATTTATTTTTTACCCTACTGAAAATATTGTTTAATTTGTTCACAAATTCTGTCGAGGTTGCTTTTTTTTATCTTTTTTTTATTATTTTTTAAAAAAATTTCAATGGCTATTTCTTCACACACACACAACTGTAGCACATATATATTTATTTTCGGTAACACTATACATACATACATACGCAATTTTTATTTACACTTCAAATAAATTACCCCACTATCAAACATCCGCTTAATCGCAAATATATATTTATGGGCATCCGTGTTTATTGGGAAAACGTAACTATGCACGTGCGTGTGACAGTGTTGGTGTTTTAAATAAAGGGCGGATAGGCGTGGAAGTGTGAGTGCGCGTGTGTATGAATGTGTGTATGTGTGTTTATGCGTGTGTGTTTATTTGAGAGGGTGTGTACCGGCGAAGAAGTTTTTTTTTTTTTAGTGTTGGAAACTGTACTCCTCCTCGGAGAAGACGGTGGTAGTTTTCGACGAGGATAGAAGCCTCCCCCACCCCCACCCCCCACAAAAAAAAAAAAAGAAAGAAAGAAAGAAAATCAATTTTTCCCGCCGCCCATCCGCGCCTTCGTTTCCAGGTGATGGCTGAAAGGTCAGTCGATGCAGAGAGGAACAACAGTTTGCAGGTGTGCGCGCGCCCTAACGTGCTCGGCGCGCCCGTGACAGAGAGAGACGGGTGCTAACGACGGTCGGAACCCCTTCAAAAGAAACGGCTTAGCGAGAGGACTGGAGAGTTAAAAGAACGGGTGGACGGAAAGAAAAAAAAAAAAAAAAAAAACAAGGAGAGGGAGGGAGAAAGAAAGAGAGCGAGAGAGAGAGGGGGGAAATCGACACACACACACACGCGCACACATATACGCACAGAGAGAAAAAGAGGAAGAAAAAGTAGAAAGACGTAAAACAAGTGACAGACAGTGAAAGAGGTTTAAAAGGGGGCGTTGCGTTTTTTGTTTGTTTTTTCTTTTTTTTTTTCATTATTAAGTGACCTTAGTGGTTATTGGGGGCAGTATCAGCGAGACCGCTATACGATGCTATAATGTTCTGCTTGGCGGGTCGTCACCGACCTCAGCCAGCTTTTATCAGTGAGATTAGCCTAAAACCTGCACAGCATACATCCGGGACAGATCCCAGATCCAGAAATGCATCAGGGTATCATTCTTCGGGTTCTCAATCAATCAATATCGTTCTGAGTAGTGCCAAACCCATCCTGGGGCAGACGGGCTGCACAGACCCGGGAAGCCCTTGTGGTACCCGTTATCACCAGCGGGACTATCCCTACAGTAAATTCGCCGGACTAACAGCAAAGAGATTCTCGACAGTTGGCGGAGGCCAGGGAAAAGCCAGTAACAAAAATGCGGCGAATAATTTCTTAAATCTCGGACGTTGTTCCTTGTCTTTTAGCTTCCAGTCTCGTTGGATGGCCTTTTTAGCTCTTTTCGTTCTCCTGCAGACGAAAGCTGGGATGACACCGCGGGTGGCAGCAGCGTTAAGGTTCGACGGACAACAAGCCTTGCCCGTTGTACCCCAGGATGATATTTACACCCCTGAGACTGAATCTCTGCCCAACGATACAGCGTTGGTGTGGAGGCGGTTGGATTTACTCAACAGTAAGGACAGGGTCCAAAAAGCGGATCCGTCCAGTGTGGATGCGTTAGTGCCCGCAATAAAGAGATCGTTCGGGAAACAGCCATGGGAAAAGACTAAGAGACAATATTCACCTGATGTAACCCGGCCGTATGCACGAGCCTCAAGGAAACAACAGTATCAGCACAAAACCCATCACCAACATTATAATTATTATCACCCACATTATCATCACAGTAATAAGCTTCACCGACCAACAAATCACAAAAATCATAGTCATAGCTTTAATAAACCAGCTTCCCAGAAGAAAGGCAAATATGAAAATGAGGGTCAAGTTGGGACGAACGGGGGTGGCCAGGAGTCTGTATACCATCGGTCGAGGAGATCTGCGGACACGGACAAAGAATTTGAGGAATTGGATCCTTTAGAACGATTGTCGCGTGTTTTTGGTATCAGACGGCTTCCGTCTCAGAACGGGCCGTTTCCTACGCAAATACCTCCCGAATATATGACCAGGCTATATCGCAGCATTACTGATATTGGAGGATTGTCGAAGACAAATGGTCCCTACAATGCGGATATTGTACGCAGTTTTCCGGACAGAGGTAGGTTCATTTTTTTCCCCCTTTGTTTCATTTTGTTAACGATATGATTTTATTATTATTTTTTTTTTTTTAAATTCTGCTTTTCCGAGAGTAAAGGATTTTTCATAATACTTTTCAGACTATTTATTGAATTCATTTGCTGTTTGTGTACGATATTTCGGCCGCTATATTCTTCAGCCTTCATCCACATGTTTTTTTTTTCTTGCTGATTAGGAAGATTACGTTATAACAGCCAGGAAAGAAATAATTGTACACAAAATTGACGTCAGTGTATGCAAGAGATGGAGATATTATTATTAAGTTAGTGTAAATCAAAAAATTTCGTTTTCTCATAGTAAATATATGTTAAAAACGAAATTATTTTTTACACGAAACCTAATATTATTATTATTATTATTATTATTATAAAATAATAATATAAATTGTACATAATAATATTAATAATAATTATTATTATATCAATTGTACGTTTGTCTCATTCAATAATTTTTGTTTGTATCACTCAATAATAATTATATATATATATTATATTTACGTAAATCAATAACAACAACAACAACAACAACAATAATAATAATAATAATAATAATAATGATAATAATATTACTGCACGCATCATCATCATCTCAAAGCTAAAAGAGATTACTTTATACGGAATAGCACATATCATCATCAAAACCCTCTCCATGGAAACGAAACGTCCCAAATGTACATAGATAACTCTCCAACACTGCCTTTTTGACTCATGGACCCCAAAGGGGGATTTGCTAATTAGGCAAATAAAATTACTTTCCGGCAAGATGATACGAAACAATAATAATAAAAAAATATATTTATATGTTGGTATCATTCAACAAAAATAATAAAACGTATCAATAATAATAATAATAATAATAATAATAATAATAATAATAATAATATATATATATATATATATATATATATATATATATATATATATATATAGTATGTTGGTATCATTCAATAATAATAATTATATATAAATATATTGTATAATCGTATCAGTATTAATAATAATAATCATAATAATATATAGTAAAAAACGTATTTCACTTATTAATATTAATAATAATCATAATAATATATTCTATATTTATATAACTCAGTAGTAGTAATAATAATAATATTAATAATAATCATAGTAATATATAGTAAAATTTGTGTCATTCAATAATAATAATGATAATACTATACTTGTATCAAAAAATAAAATAATAATATGTATTGTATATTGGTATCGGATAATAATTATATTATATAATAATAAACAGTATATATTGTATAATTGTATGAATAATAATAATAATAATAATAATAATAATAATAATAATAATAATAATAATTAAAATACTAGCAACATCCCATATGTAACGAAAAGAGCTAACAGTTAAATGAAAATTGTCGTATAGGGCCTAAGGACAATAATTTGGACCGCTTCGACAAGATATAAAGAAGGAAACATAAGATACGCAAATAATAATAATAATAATAATTCATTTTACTAGGAACATTCCATATACTAAGAAAAGAGCTATCAATTAAATGAAAATTCTACTAGTGCCTAAGGACCACGGTCTGGTACTGGCTCTACAGGATACGAAGCCGGAAGCATAAAATACAGAAATAATAATAATAATAATAATAATAATAATAATAATAATAATCCACTTTACTAGGAACATCCCATATGCTAAGAAAAGTGCTATCAATTAAATGAAAATTCTGCTATAGCGTCTAAAGATCATAGTTTGAAACCGGTTCGATAGGATACAAAGCAGGAAACAAAATACACAAATGAATAATAATAATAATAATAATAATAATAATAAGAAGAAGAAGAAGAAGAAGAAATTATTACAATATGACGACATCATTACCTATTGTTCTTTGGTCTCTGGGAAGTATATCTAAAGGAGAAAACCAATATGTGGATTCCTGGAAGCCCTAAAATAAGGGAATTGCAAAAAAAAAAACATACCTAAATGGATACTTCTCATGTCACTGACCAGAATTATATTTCTCTCTTTCTCGGTCAGAGTGGCACCTCATTTATTGGCATCTTCTGATGCAAGGTACTTGTTGTCACTTGGTCTCTTGTTGAGCCTTTCGGTCAACACCTCTTAATAGTACGGATTTGAATACAGTGATAAGTGTAATGAATACGTAGTAACTTTAAGGGGAATAAAGCACTGGAAAATTATTCTTCTATGTGCCGTGTCCCTTTGGGTCGTTGGTCACCATGTCTCTCCACAATCTCCTCTGTAGCTTTTAATAACGTTTGTCTTTTTGCCACCTCCCCCAAACCTTGCCATCTATTTACACAAGCTTGCCAGGTAGGTCATGCGTTGCTTTTATCTGTGTCCTTTACCTTCAATCTGCCCTGTGAGTATCAAATTTCCAAGCAGTCTTTCCTCATTATGTGCCCCAGAAATTTCAAATGTCCCTTCCTGAGGTTAAGTACAAGCGTCCTTTTTGTTGACATTTTCTCTAAAACTTCGTCGTTGTTCACATGTTCGGTTCATGGCATTCTCAGCATCCTCCTGCAGAACGTTATCTCTGTTGCTTCAAATCTTTTCTTCACCTGTGTGGAGATTGTCCAGTATTCACTGGCATATAGGGAGACCGATATTACATAATAGTTCAAAACACTTTTCTTTGTTTCTTTTGCTTCAAGTCTCCTCCTCATCCGCGAGGAAATTGTCAAACATTCACTGATATTATTTAACAGTTCAGTACTCTTTTGTTTGATTCTAACGATATTTTTCTATTTAATACCTTGCTGAGTTTTTGGAAGGCATCTTTCGCTTTGCCAATCTGTCAATACGCTTCTCAGATATCAAAATTGTTGACTTTGTTTTTATGTCAGTATTTCAGATTTGTAATTTACATGTTGAGAAATTTAGAGAACACAATAAAGTAGCTGGAAAAAACGGAAAAAAAAATTGCCGATAGTAATAATAATAATAATAATAATAATAATAATAATAATAATCTGTAACTTCTACGGGAAGGAGATTGAAAAAAATGGTATGAACCCCATCCAGACCCGGTTACGAAGATAGGACCTGTTACACTTCTATGGGACTATACAATACACACTGACAGAACAATCAAAGCCAACTGCCCAGACATTTTTATTAAAAACCACAAACAAAAAAAAGGTGCCTCCTTATTGATATGGCAGTCCCTGCTGACTGCAATGTATCTTTGAAGATATTCAAAAAGCTGTCAAAATACAAGGACCTTGAAATAGAAATGTCAAAAACGTGGCATATGGGAACATCAACAATCCCTGTTGTAGTTGGAGCCCTAGGTCTGGTTGGAAAAGATTCCAGTAGACTAATTGAAGGGATTCCTGGAAGTCCATGCCTCAAAGAGTCACAAAAATTGTTCTGACAAGTACAGTCCACACTTTACGAAGGGCTTTATATATGTAATTTTTTATTTTTTTTTTTTTTGTCAGTGGAAAATGTCATGATACCATTTCTAACCCTAGGTCTCAATGTGGACCCGGAAGAAATGTAAACGCAAGAAATCAAAATAAAATAATAATAATAATAATAATAATATCTGTTTATATTTCTGAGATGAAATTAAAAGAGATTTTTTATTTAAATTGTTCGGACTATTGTCCTCATCTTTGCCGCCATACAACGGCCGAAACGTTCTAATAAACATTTCGCTGTTATATTATGCAAATTTTGTCCTTTGTGGTTGGAATGTCGACTGAACCCTTTATTTCGCTTGAAGAGGGGAATTAACAGGAGGTAACTGATAACTGACATCCATTAAATATGGCACGTGGAACTAGAACAGTCTACCCCAGTGAGCGAAATAAAGGGTTCTGTTCGACATTCCAACCACCTGAGGAAGGCCGGAACGTACAACGGCCGAAACGTTGTAATAAATATGGCGACAAAGATGAGGACAATAGTCTGAATAATGTAAATAGTGTATAATAAAAATAATCTCAAAATATAAGGATCTTGAAGTCGAAATCTCAAAAATGTGGCACAAGAAGGCATCAGTAATCCCAGTTGTAATTGGATCACTTGGATTGAATGGAAAAGGTTCCGATAGACTTACTAAAGAAATACAAAAACAGATGTGCTTTCTTATTGATATGGCAGTCTCTGCAGATTGTACTGTATCGTTGAAGATCTTAAAAAAAAACTATCAAAATACAAGGATTTTAAAGGGGAAATCTAAAAAATGAGGCACATGAAGACATCAGTTATTCCAGTTGTAGTTGGAGCACTCGGATTGAAAAAGCTTCTGATAGACACATGGAAGGGATACCTAGTAGGTCATGCTTTAAAAGAAATACAAACAATTTTATTCACATCCTTCATTACAAACATAGGACCTCTAATAATTTTAGGGGACTTTACTAGACATATTAAGAAAACAATCAAAGTTAATCACCCTGACATGATGATCAAAGAACAGAAGGTGCTTTCTTATTGAAATGGCAATTCATGTATGAAGATCTTCAAAAACTATCAGAATACAAGAATCTTGAAGTAGACATCTAAAAAAATGTGGCACATGAGGATTTCAGTAATTCCAGTTGTAGTTGGAGCACTCGGATTGATTGGAAAAATGTTCCGATAGACTCATTGAAGGGATTCCTGGTAGCCCATGTCTCAAAGAAATACAAAAATATTTACTCACAAGTACAGATTACACATTACGAAAAGCTTTAACTTTGTAAAATGTGTGTGTTTTTAGGTTTTGTTTTTCTTTTCAAAAAATGAGTTTAGGTTTTGTTTTTCTTTTCAAAAAATCAACAGTGGAAATATCATGGAGTCATTTCTGACCTTAGGTCTCTGGTTGGGACCCGGAAGGAAATGTAAATACAAGAGAAATCAAAGGAGACAATAAGAGCGTGATTTCAGGAAAGAAAAAGAATAAAATACATCGTCAGAATTGTTTTTAATAATAATAATAAGAAGAATATTAGTAGTAGTTGGAGCCCTAGGACTGGTTGGAAAAGATTGCAGTAGACTAGTTGAAGGGATTCCTG